TTTTTTTTAAGGTTCATCTTTTTAGTGACCCACCTTTTTTATCCGTCGAGGATTCGAAGGTGAAAACAATGAGATTTTTTTTTTTTTTGAAAAGTAGGATATCCATCCCATTGTCACGCGAATGATTTTATTTTTAATATAAAATAAAAATAAAAATATTTCCACGATGGTTCGGTTCGTTTTCTATCGTCAAACCCATCCGGTTTAATATTTACCCCTGTCTATTATTTATTATTATTATTTTCTCTATCCTTGTTTGTTTCATCGATGATGGATTTACATGATGGTTTTTGGACAACGTCGAACCGTTTGTTTGTTCACGAATGGAAATTATTTTCATCAACTTTTTCCGTTTTCTGAAAAGTGTTTGTTTCGCTTCGAGCAAATTATCAAGTCATCAGGGTTTCAATTTTTTTTTTTTTCCTCTCTCTCTTCTCCTTGCACGTTATGATATTAATAAATTAAATGTGATGATAATAATAATAATAATAGTAGTAAAAATTAAATTAATTTTAAAGTTGTGAAATTGTTTTGTGCAGTACGTCTCTTGATGGAAAAAAAAGTTTAGCTAACATAATTGACCTTAAAATGTTTTAAAATAAAAAATTATTATTATTATTATTATTATTATTTTACTTTATTTTGTTATTTTATTATTATTATTATTTTACTTTATTTTGTTATTTTATTATTATTATTATGTTTTCGAGTATTATATTTTATGCTGAGAACTCGCTTTACGTTATCTTATTATCGAACAAAGAGAGAGAGAGAGAGAGGGCATTGTAAATTAGTCATAAGTTAGCGATTGGTTCGGTAGGAAAATTCAATTACGAATCAAACCGGAAATGGAATAAAACCGCGACATTGAATTAAAAACTCCACAAGTTTAAAAAAAAAATTTTTTTTTTTGTTTTATTTTCTACCGTTTTCACTTAACCCTACTCCCCGCCAAGCGTCTATATTTGTTTTTTGTTACTAAATAAACCAAAACTTCCGTATATGAAAAGAAAATAATAATAATAATAATAATAATAATAAAAGAACTAATTAAGATATCCGTTTTTAGAGTAGGCCTATACCGTTAAATAATGTGTGAAAATAAAAATAACCGCCTCGTAAAATAGAATTTAATAAGTAAAAAAAAAAAAAAAAAAAAAAAAAAAAAAAAATTTTTTATTTTCTTTTGGTACGTGTGTGAGTTTCCGTTTCCGGTATCGCAACTGGTTTTTTTTTTTTTTTTTTATTACATCCCGGGTTTTCGGTTTTTTTTTTTTTTTTTTCATAACGTTACGTTATGACAGACATAAAATTATAATAAAAAAAAAAAAAAATATGGCGTTTAACCGTTACGTAAAATCATTATCGATTTTATTTTTTATTTTATTTTTTACTTTTATTGTCGATTAAAACGAGTCGTTTGTTACTTACGATCGATCCATCGATGGATCGATTAATCGAGATCTGCTGTTCGATTCGATAATAAAAATGATGTTCGAACGGTGAAAACTCATAATCAAAGGGTAAAAGTTGTTTTAAGGTAGAAGAGAGAGAAAGAGACAAACAAAGATCTGGAAATCCGCTGGAGAAAAAAAAAGAAAATTTTGAACTGACGGACAGAATAATAATAATAATAATAATAAATTTATTTTTTTATTATTTCGTACACGAATTTGATTGACCATTGTTATCAAATTTTTTGATAAGAGAAAAAAAATGTTGAATGAGTGAATTCGTTACGAAAGATGGAAAAGTTGTTTTAAAACATTAACTGTCGGCGGCCTCCTCCTGTCAATCAAAACGAAATTAATAGCCTGTTTGAAAACGTTTTTTTTTTCTCTCAAAACGGCTCATTCGACAAAAATTATAAATTACAACGTTTGTTGTTGTTGTTGTTGTTGCGATCGATTATGGTTTAAATATAAATGCGTATAGCAAGCAATTAACGGTCGGTTATACAATTGTGCGTGTAATAACATATATTATAGCATTTTAGTATTTGCGTCGTGGGTGATTCGTGACGTAATCATTCAACACCCGAAGGAAATAAATAAATAAAATTTTTCCAGCGTCATGTTTCCCTCGGGACCATTTTTTTTTTTTTTGGGGGAGGGAAGGGAAAGGAGTTTAAAGTTATTTTCAGGTTTGCAAAAATTTAATTTTACAAAAGAAGTCTCTGTCGCCTACTGCGCCAAAAATTTCCATTTTTTTTTACATTTTAAAACGAAAAAAAAAAAAATTAATGGGAATTTATTTTCTACGTCCACGTCTCTTTATTACGTTAGTATAATAAAATTATTAATAATAACAATATCACGGAATGTTTCGATCACGGTTTTTTTTTTTTTTTTGACGCTGTCATTAACGTAATCTAATAAATAATAATAATAATAATTTTTATCACGTAAATTATATTAATTCGCGAAAGAGAGAGAGAGAGAGAAAGAAGAAAAATTTAATATGTAATTTTTCGTAACTGTTTTATATGTTAATTAGTTGGTTCATCATTCAAGGGAGGAGGGTCATCAACATCACGTGAGAAAAAATTAAATTTCGCAGCCATTAAATAAAAAAAATTGTTTATAAAAAAAATAAATAATTCATAAATAAATAAATTTATTATTATTATTATTCGTCTGTCTTAATATATATATAAATAATATGTTTGCTTGTTTAGAGACAAGACGAATGAAAACAAACGACAACAACAACAACAAAATTTTTTTTTTCCCCACACACGTTTGTAGGGTTTAAGGGTAGGAGAGTGCGCGTAAAAATTGGTAAAATCGTCGAAATTAAAAAAAAACTTTTTTTTTAGATATTAATAATAATAATAATAATAATAATAATAATAATAATAAATAATAATGATTTTGACACTACGCGCGTTCCTGGGAAAAATATTTTGTACTTCCCTAAACTGTTTTATTATTTTATTTCTATTATTATTATCTATTTATTTATTTATTCTATTATTATTATTTATTATTATTATATTTCTATCGATATCGGTATCATTATTATCATTATTATTACTGTTTTTTTTTGTACCGTTGAAAAAATTATTGAATTTATTCGAATGAACACCTGTATGAAAGAAAGAGAAGAAGAACGCCATTGATCTCGCAGGTGTTGGAAAACAAAACTTTCTTTTGATTGATTTCATTCATAAACGTTCATTTTTTTTTTTTTTTGTCGAAATCATCTCTCATCTGTTAAGTCGTGGCATAAGAATACGTTAAATGAGAGGAAATTAAAAAATTGTTGTTGTTGTTTTTGTTCACGTGTCGCACGTGAATCGAAAGTAAATTATTTATAAATTTAAAAACTTTTTACCGGGTTTTCTTTTTGAGGAGCAGGAGGAGGAGGGGAGAGAAACCTCACGAAATTTTTTTTTTTATTATCGATAATTAAAAAAAAAATTTACGGGTGAATCCTCAATTTGATTTCTAGTTTTTTTCGTAAATTAAAAAACTTGTTTTTTTTTTTTTCCAAAAGTGTCAAAATAACTTAACGACACTTTCTTTTCATAAAAAATTTCTATTTCCACGAAATTTTACCTCCCCTTCCTCCCACCCTAGTATCGATCGATACGTTTTTTTTTTTTTAGCGAAATATTCTTTAATGGCGGTTGAATCGACCGTTTTTTTTTTTTTTTTTTTGGCTTTATTAAATAATTTTTATTTTATTATTAAATTTGAAATCGGATTAAGATTCCATAATGTATATAAATATAGAATCGAATTGGAAAACTGGAATTTTGATTTTATTAATAAAAAATTTCCTTATGAGTTTCCTGTCGATAAATAAAAAAAAAAAATTTTTGTCGTCATCTTGTAAAGCCAATAAAGTGAGAGAGAGAGAGAGGGAAAACATAAAAATTTACTTTCGTTCCACTCTTTTTTTTTATAATTCATTTTTTATGAATTTTTAGGGCGTAAAATTGTTAATTTTTAACTAACTAACTGACATGCGAAAAAAGAAAAACACGATTTCGTTGTTGCATCATTATGTTTTGTGGTGACATTTAAATTTCACAAAAAAAAAAATTAAACGAGTCCCCGTTCGAATGGACACCACAAAGAAACGACGCAAAAAAAAAAAAATGGAATTATTATTATTATCATCATCATCATCATCAATTTTTTTTTTTCACTTGCGGATATTCTTGGAGTCGTTAGAAAAACTGGAAATATCTGGCGAATGAGTTTTATTATTGCCACCATGTACCAAATGCATTACTACTTATTTAATCAGGGTTATTAATTTGACCTTTGACATTCACGAATAAACTACTACTGCTACTACTACTACTACTACTCCGGTAATGTTCTACCATGCATGGAATAATAATTAGATGTCTTGTAAAAAAAAAATGGTAGCGGTAGGATGTATGTATATGTACCCTTTGGGAATACAAATCGTTTATTATTAAAAAATTTATGTTTTAATTATTATTTTGTGACGTCACACATTTCATTCGTTACAATTCTAATTTAGTATTTTACTCATTATTATTATTATTATTATTACTGTTGTTGTTGTTGTTGTTGTTGTTGTTTGGTGCAACAAAATAAAAAAAATTTGAGTAAATGCGTAGAAATTTGTTTTGTAATAGATTTTTTATTTCAATTCGAATCTGTCGTTTGTGGAAAATTTTTCGTACCTAAATGATTAAGGAAAAAGAAAATGGCGGTATCACACACACGTGTGGAATGATAGAAAGAGAAAGAATAGGGCGCGTACCATCACGAAATTATAAACGGAGGCCTAAATTGTTGTGTAATTGATCTAAATTCCAGGGTTTTCGAATTTTATCGGGGAGGGGAGGAGTAACTTGCTGTAAGCCATCTTTAAAATGTGGAAAGATTTAAAAGAAAAAAAAAGTCAAAGAAAATTTATTTTTATCTGTGTTTCAGGAACCGCTACGACCTCCCGTTTACAACCCGGAAGATTATGCAACATCGTTAAAAAAATGGGGGAAAAAAACAAATTCTGGAATGCAACAAATCCCTCTTTATTTATCACAATCGACGGGATCGATAGAGAGACTATCGACGGATTCGTCTTTGAAAAAAAACAAACGACAATCGTCGCCGACGGTGAAAAATGGAGATGATAAATCGACAAAAGACAAAGATCACAGTCTCAAACTGGAGAAAAAAGATTCCAAAAATAAGGAAAACATATTGAAAGGTTCTAAAAACGATATAAATATCGATTTTAAAAATCCGATATTGGCTCTGGCGACGCAAGAAGGTGAAATGAGTCTGAGACAATTCTCCAGCGTCACGGAATTACTTGGAAAATTAAAAGTTGACCTTAAATTGTCTTTTCCCAGGTACTCATGAATTTTTTATTTTCTACCCATGAACAAAATAAAAAAAACGAAAAGAAACAAAACAAAACGATTCTGAAATTCTGAACGTTTTTTTTTTTTTTTGCCTTCCAGCCGATCACGCAACAAATTATTATTATTATTATTTTCTTTTTCGTTTTTCAAGTTTTAAAGAACGTTTAAATCCGATACGCAATAAATTAACGCGTGCAATTTTGTTTTTTTCCAAAAAAAAAAATTATATTTAGCAAAAACAAAAAAAAAGGGGGGGAGGGAATTGAATCGTAGCAAAAAGTTTGATTTCCCTGTCTCGGTTCGATATTTTTTTTTTTTTGCTTCCATGAACTTGAACTGTTTTGCGCATCGCAAACAACGTTCGTTCGACTGGAAAAATTTTAAAACCCGCAAAATTTAAATTGATTACTGGAGAAAACTGATGGAAAATCCGCAAATTTTCTTGCACAATTAAATTTATAAAATCGATTCGATTGATTGATTTGTCACCAGCAAAAAAAAAAAACTTCTAGAAAATTCGATTTTTCTTTTCTCTTTCTTTTTCTTCTTCTTCTTCTTTATCGACGATTAAAATCCGATGTAAAAATAAAAAAAAATTTTTTTGGAGCGCAGCGTGAATTTCCGTTAAAAAAAAAAAAATTCACGATTTTTCTTTCGTTTATGAAAAAAAAATTAATGAGCGGTAACTTTGACCTTAACCTTAACCTCGAATAAAATAATTAATTCATAAATTATATTTATTTATTTTTATTGCCTTTCAGCGGTTTTAGACTTAATTAATTAATTAATTAATTTAATTACCTTTTTTTTTTATTAAGAAAAATTTATCAATTGTTATGATTAACAAATCGGTTAGAAAATTATGCGAATCTAAAAATTAAATTTTTTTCGTTTGTTTTTGTGCGATCATTGTAAAATTAAGTTTTATTTGTTCGTACTACTACTTCCGGTTTATTGTTATACGAAAAACGAACGGTCGATTGAACGTGTAACGTCTTAGTTAAATTTGGTATTAAAAATATTAATTTTTTTTTTTCGTCTGCTATTCTATTAATTTGGAAATTTCATCCGTCGCGATTCTTTTTTGAAAATCTCTGGAGAAAGGCGTGATTCCACCACCATAGAGAGGTTTTAATGACTTTTAATTTGTTTCCTTTTAGTTTCGTTCAAGAATTCGTAGGAGATCCAGTTGACGGGATCACGCTTTTACTGGAATTGTTAAGAGCTATACAATTGTCGCAAGCGACGCAACAACAAAGGCGACCACCTCAGATATTTCGAAGAGCTTTACTAGACGAACATTCTTGTCTCGTTTGTTTGAAACATTGTTTGCGTTGTTCTGATGCCACGAGAAGGTTGGCCTCATCTTCCGCCGGACTTTTCACACTTGCCGTTTGCATTATGAGTAATGTTACGCAATCGAGAATAATTGCTTTGGAGGTGAGTTAAAAATTGTGAAACAGGTGTCGCCATTTTCAACAGAGAGTAAAAATTAATTTTTTTTTTAGCTCCTAACGAAAGCTTGCGAAATACCGATAATCGGTCACAAAGCTGTTTCCGAATCTTTGTCAACTCTCAGATTAAGATTTGGAGAACCCGTTAGGTTTAGATTTTTGGTTGGAATGTTGAACAGCGCAGGAACGATCGAGTTGTTGGCGATCGCCATGAAATTTATAAATGTTTTCGTGGATACCGCACCAAACATTCAACAAAAGGTTTACATACAAGCCGAATTGGAACAAGCAGGATTCGATTCGAAAGCTTTGCGAAAGGTTTGTAAGGTTTACTTCCCGATTCCGTAACGCGAAACTTTGAGAAAAAAAAAACTAAAAAAATTTTTTTTTTTTTTTTTTTTTAGACTCTTCCGTGCAATTCCGAGAGTGTTAAAATAGAACTTAGCAGATGGGATAAAAGCTACTTCGACGTTGAAAATTTACAAAACAGAGTGGAAGAAGTCGATACACTTACTGAAAAAATTCAATTATTGGAAAAAAGGATAGAGGTGAGAAAAACTATGAAAAGGATAGAGGAAAAAAAAAAAGGAACATTTTTCATTTCAACATTTTTTTTTTTTTATTAGATTTTACAAGAGGAAAAAGGAATTTTACAATCTCTCGAACAATGTTTAAAAGAAAGATGTTCGGAGTTGGAAGAGGAAATGAGCATAAAAACAAACACGACGAATAAAACTCCTTTGACGAAACCTTTTCTCAATTACAATTCGCAGGCAAACAAAAGAAGTACAGAAAAGGGTGAATCCACTCCGGCTGAGGACGAAGGTATCAGTTCGTCGGAGCAAGAATTATCTCAAGACGAAGATTACACCAAGGCTAGAAATATATACGGTAATTCGAACGAATTAAAACAAAATTTAAATTCAGATGAATCTCGAAGGATCGTGAACAAAGACTCGAACAAGTGCCAAGAGAAATTAATAACGAATAATTGTACGACAAAAAATTATAAAAATATTCGGTGCGGCGGCGGTAAAATGAAAGAAACGAACGTGGACGACGGTAACGAAATCATTAGAATGGAAAGGGAAAGCAATGACGAAGACGAAACAACAATCGACGAAGTCATAGAAGAATTGGAAAACATCGTTAACGATGCTAAAACGGAAGCTTATGCAAACGAACAAATCATAAAAACAAACGCGAGCGAAAAAATCAATTCGTGCGATGCCGCCGGTAAAACGACCAAACAGGAAATGATAATGACGGACGCTATTAAAAACGGAACGATTTCCGCTCGATTTCCGGAAAAGGAAATTTTCGAAGAAACGGAAATCATACCGTCGTATTTACACCCGCAACCTCCGAGAAAAGCTAAAAGTTTGGTACACATATATTTTCCGAGTAGAGATTTCGATGGGTACGACCACCATCACAACCACCACCATCACCATCACGTGAAAAGTGGTGAATTCTTCGACGAAGACACTGATACCGAATCATCCGATTCTCTACTCACGGCAACGCGGGAAAAAAAATCAATGAACAAAAGTTGTCGTAGGTCTCTGAACGTAACCGATAGTTTTGGATCCTTTTCAAGCACGAACACTCGAAGTCTTTTCATAAAACACGAAAAAGAAGACGATGATTACCAAGATGAGAACGAATTGAAAATTCGCGCGAAGATGCAGGGCTACGAAGAAAGAAACATTGACGAAGAAGAAATCAAACGGAAACATTTAAAAATAAAAAACAATCAATTTAATTCGGCGGAAAATTCACCGGTGAGAGTGGAAAATTTTTCCTCGCAGTTTTTCTTCAAGGACAACAAATTCATGGGAGACGTGAGAAAAACAATTCAAAAAGATTTTATTAACGATAGAATAATGAATAACAGATCGACCGATAGAATACACGATAACGGATTCAATAATTTCTACGAGAAGGCAGCGTTTTTTCAAAGCTTTAATAAATTTAATAATAATAATAATAATGGTAACGTCGACGGGAAAAAATTCGTGCATGAAAATTCATTTAAAAGATCCCCGCAAAAAATTATCGCGCCGACGCCGGTCAAAAGAAGTCAAACGTTTCACATAACGACGACGACGACGACGACGACGTCATCAGAAACGGATCCCTATTACAAACGTGGTACCCCCAAACCTAAAATGGGAGTGAGCGGTATAGATTTTCAAAGAAACATGGAACTCAAAGCGAAAAATGATAATTTGAGATATTCCGCCGTATCCGATTATAAAAAAAACATGGACGCGAACGATAAACGTTCGAAGAAAATTTTAAAAGAATCTCTAAGCACGGATACCACCACCACCACCACGTACGGGTACTACGAAAACGGATCTCAAATACGTAGAAGAGGAAGTTTTAACAGTGCGTTAAACGTCGTGGAAATCGAAAGAGATCGTCTCACACCGAACGGCGATAATTTTTTTTTCACTAATAATAATAATAATAATAATTGCGGTAAAGAGATTTTGTTGGAAAAACCGTGCGCAAAAGCGAGATCGAAAAGCTTGGAAAAAATGGACGAAGGTTTGGATTCACTCGTGGATATAGTTTACGACGAAACGAAAAAGGGTAAAATAAAACCGGAATTGAATGTTGAAATGAGTAAAAATATCGGGCCGAGAACGAGGAGAAGTTTAGCAGAAAGCAGTTTGTTTAATCCTCCCAACACGACGGGTAAACATCCGACGGAAGAATCACCAAAGCCTCCGAAACCAGCTCAAAGAACGTCGATAACGAGACACAATTCGACATCACGTCACGACGTGACGAAAGAAAACGAGAAAATATCGATGCCGGGCAGGAATTCAAATAATTCAGGTATGAGAGTAATTAAAACGGAAGATGGCGGAAGTTTTTCCGTTACGAAAAGATGTCCTCCGGACGGTTCGAGTTCTCCGAACGATTACAATTCAACGAGTTTGGAAAATCGAAATTTACCGGACGATAAAATACCTATTTACTCGGTTCCCGTCAAACAACAATCGAAACTTCAAAAATATTTCGGTAGTCCAAAATTTGAAAATCACGCCGATGTACAGACGACGACGACGACGAATCATCAAAACGTGGTTAGAAACAGTTCGATCGGGTCGAACAAAACAAACGAAATGACGTCACTCGTTAGTCCAATGCCAAGAAACGTGCAACAAAACGTGAGCGATGAAAATAAAAATCACCATCGGACCCCCAACACCGCCACGACCGCGGTAAAAGAATACAAGCCGGTTTTTCCAAAGAGCAGCGCCTCGAAACCAAATTTCCTTCTAGGTACGTATCAATCCCAAGACACCAAAAACATTCCAAAACCTTCTTCGTCCGTATTGAATTCCGTGAACGCGTTCAACAGCACGTTTCTGGCTAAAAAATCCCAGGGAAACGTTAAAATGTATCCGTCATCAAAAACGACGACGATGACGTCAACAAATTGTTCTTCCCAAAATCGTCGCAATTTGAATGTTCGACAATCTATGACCGGAAATTCATCTCCTTTGGAAAAATTAACGGATTCTCCATCGGGACTTTATTAATCATCATTATCATTTTTTAAATAAAGAAAATAATAATAATAATAATAACTTTGTAAATAATTTTTTTTAAAAAAACATTTAATATATATTTTGTATAAAATTATAAAATTTGATTACGTAAAAAAAAACTTCATCACAAGAAAAGTCGGTGCCCCGGAAAGGGGGGGGGCCTCGTGGACCCTCAATTAGACGTAAAGTGATTTTTTTTTTTTTTTGTATAAAAATAAACTTAAATTTTTAATAAATAAAATTTTAAATTTTTATTAATTTTTTTTTTAAAAAAAAACTTTTTTACTTGTGTTTATTAATTAATAATAATAATAATAATTAATACTTTTTCTATTCTGCTCATTTTCGAACGGGGAGGAGAAAAAAAAAGTTGGCAACATTTTTTTTTTCAAAAGGATTTCGTTCGTCTTCGTCGTCATTTTGTTTTTTTTTTTTTTTAAATAACGGTCAACACTGATGACGTCACCGTTCAGGCACACGTGAGTAATTTGGATGCTTCTTTAACATCGTCTATATTAAGACCATAATCGTCTTTTTTTGTCGTTTCATGTTTGTCGGCAAGCAAATAATCCAATTCTTCCTGATTGCAAACGTGTACGAATTCTTCAATGTTGGCACCTTTGAAAACGGATACGACAGTCGCACAAGGTTGATAAAAATAAATGGATTGTTTTCTTTTTTTAAAATCATCGATTAGTGCCGCTATACCCTGGAAACAAAAAGAAACTTTTTTATGAATTTTTTACCCTTAAAAAAAGGAAAAAGGGATGGGGGCTCAAATTATTCGGGGGGGTTTACCTTCGCCGCCGTAAAATCCGCACCTAAAACGTATCTGCAATCGACGACGATGGGCATCGAACTGGACCCTTCTTTCGTTGCTGCTCTGCAAACGCTCGAACGTATAAAATCAACGGCTGGAAAATAAAGGCTGTTACCCGGCGTCACCAATAAATATTCGGCACCTTGAAGAGTCTGAACAAAGTCAGGAAACATCCATTCGTTTGCGGTAGGAAAAAACCCCCCCAAAAAAAAAAAAAAACAAAAAAATTTTAATTTAAATTTTTCGACGACAAAAGAACAATTAACAAAAAAACTTTTGTGTTGGAAAAAATAAAGGCGTGATTGACTGATTGATTGATTGATTGAGACGGTAAGTGTTTAAAAGAATTTTTATTATCTCTTTTGAAATTGTTTTTGATTATACGTCAACAGGTAAACGAATTTTATCTTTGGCTTTATCCTTGAAATAATTAAGAGAGGATACGGTCCTGACGGTCCGTTTGCAAGCCAGGTATAAATTTTGATAAATGACATGTATAACAAACTCACTCTTGATTTTTCCACTCTCACGTTAGGTCTCGCCGAAGGATATAGCAACAATATTATATTTATTGACACTCCGATCAATATTCCAAGTTCGACACCTATGAGCAAACACAAAACGAACGTCACGAACGCGGGTATCAAATCTTTTTTACTCGATTTCCACATGGGTTTCAATACTTCGTATTCTATCATGAAAATAACGGCACATATGATGACGGCTGCGAGCGACGCTTTGGGAATGTAAAAAAAATATGGAGTCAAAGTCGAGAGAGCTAATATTATTATGACGCCTAGGAAAAAAAATTAATGAGAATTCCACTCATTCAAAACGAACGTTTTCTGAACAAAGGTTTTCCCCTCAAACCTGTGTATAATCCTCCGAGTGGAGTTTTAACGCCGCTAGCATGATTGACGGCACTCCTTGAAAATGAACCCGTGACCGGAATCGAAGACGCAAAAGATCCGAAAAAATTACATAAACCCAAAGTGAGTAATTCTTGTGTTGCATCGATTGAATTTCCACTTGCTGAAAACAAACAAACAAACAAACAAACGAACAAACGCGACGAAATTTTAATTTGATAGTTGACGAACAAAAAAAAAAAAAGGGAAAATCGATTTTCCTTTACCGAAAGCTTTTGCTATGGCGACATTTCCCAAAACGGCTATAACCGGTACCATAAAAATGGCGGATTTCATTTCCGTACACATGTCAATGAAGGAATATGTAGTGTTGCCAACTTGCGTTGAAAATTTTGGAATTTTAAATTCTGGAAGACCTGGTTTTACGGAACCTGAAAAACAAAAATTTCTTTTACGACAACGATTTCATCGATGAATTAGCATAACAAAAAAGGTTTGTTTGTTTGTCTGTTTGTTTCTTTGTTTCTTTATCTCTCTCTCTCTCTCTCTCACCTGTTAATATAAATGGACTCGTTTTTTGTATTTCATCGTATAAAAAATATGATAAAATCGAACAGAAAACAACAATCAATGCGTTTCTACTCGTCGATATCAACCATAGAATTTTTTTATAAGTTTCATTCCTCGATGAATTACGACAAAAATTAAAATCTTTGCATTTCTGAAATACAGCAAAAAATTTGTTTGTTTGTTTGTTTGTTTGTTTGTTTATAACTCTGATTTCTCTTATAAAAAAAGAAAAAAGAAAATTTACTCTGAGAAACAATAAGATAACAATGCATGTAATTCCCAAAGCCGTATCGTTCAACCTCGTTTCCCCAATTCGTTCCCCGATTTTTTGTAAAGTGTCTAAAAATCCCGACGAAGTAAATTTTAATCCCAGGAGTCCTTTTATTTGCGACGTTGCTATTATAACCGATGTTGCCGATGTAAAACCGACAGTCACGGGTACGGATATGAAATCGACTAAAACACCTGTAAAGGACAAATTGTATTCATTCATTCGTGCGGAAACAAACTACTATTGGGCGACAAAGGCGGCACCTATGATAATAATAATAATAATAATAACAATATGAAAAATGAAAACAGGAAGAAATGGGAGAAAAAAAATGTCACAACTTAATTATTAATACAAAACAACAAACATTTTAAAAAAAGGTAGATGGATAGGGCACGATTTTTACCCATTTTGAAAATTTTCCTTTTTTTTTTTTTTTTTTAAAAACCTGAAAGATTTTCTTTTATTTTCTTTTACCTAAATGTAAAATGCTCATTATTATTTGTACGCAACCCGAGAGGAAACAGAGTAATATGGCAAAATCGACATTTTTATCAATAACTTGTTGATACGTCATGAGTGCCATCAATGCCGTCGGTCCAATCGTTATATCTTTACAACTTCCAAAAATTGCATAAACGAAACAACCCATGAAAGCGGAATAAAGACCGTACTAGAAACAAAAGAATCGAAATAGTACGCGATCGATCGATCGATATATCGATATATCGAATATTACATATATAAATTTAAAAAAGAAACCTGCGGTTCCAAACCGGCCAATGTGGCATATGCCAAACCCTGAGGCATGACGGTGAGTCCAACCGTTATTCCGGCTATCATATCGCATATGAGTTTTTCCGAATTGTATCGAGGTAGCCATACCGATATGGGTATCCTATTTTTAATTGTTTTTTTTAAATATCCGCAAATTTTTTCTTTTTTGTTAAAATCGTCCATTGTTGTTTTACCACAAAATTTCTCTATTAACTTCTTTTTTTTTTTTTATTAACTTATAATTTTTTCTTTTTTCCCGTGTTTTATCATCATCGTTTAAAAATCCCTAAAAGAAAACGAGAAAAAGTTGAATGATAATAATAATAATAACATATTCACTTTTTATTATTAATATTCATTAACGCGGTTTATATATATATAAATGCGCGACGAAAAATAATTTTTTTTTTTTAAATTTTTTGTTTAAAACTTTAATAAAATGAGTACCGAGTACCTTTTTTTTTACAAATAATTAAAACAAAAAAAAAAAAAAAACTTTTTTGCGAAATAAAACAAACAGAATAATATGAAAACACGTTGAGAATGTTTTTTTTTTTTTTAACTGAAACTCCTCAAGGCTGATTCTATTGAAGCCATTACGCATGTTTTTCTTTTTTAAATATTATTTACAAGGTATGAGAAAAAAGTTACAAGATAATTTTTTTTTATTACTCAGAGTGATACTTTTTGACACACACCCGAATCAAATCTTAATAAATAATAATAATAATAATAATTAAGAGAATGTAATAAATAATTTTTTTGAAGAAGAAGAACTAGAAGAAGAAATTTGATTTTGATGAGTTTCCAAAAGATTTTCCAGGTTTTTTTTTTTTGGGGGAGGGGGGTAGGGGGGGGTTGAACGAATTTTCAAACGGATAATTTGATGATAAAGAAGAAGAAGAAGAAAATTAATTAGATTAAATTTTTTTTTTTTTTTAATTTTTAAATGTATTCTTTGCAAAACCGTTGATTTTTTTTTTTGCACATCCTTCGTCCATTACTTGGGTTATTCGATTCTTTATTTTATTTTGTAATTTGATTAAAGATTGATACCTTTTTTTTTTATGGTTTTTTTTATGGTGGTGATGGTGATGGTAGTGGTGGTGGTGGTGATGGTGATGGTGATGATGATGGTGGTGGTGCAAGGTGAGTAGTGAAATAAAGTTGAAAAATGGCTACCTTAAATATTTATTTAAATATTGAAATGATGAGACAACAAAAGTAATGAAAATTAATTTTTTTTTTAAATATTTTGAAATTTTATTTTGATACTTTTTGCACAATAAATAAAATATTACAAATGGATAAATTATTATTTTTACAATAAAATTCGTTTTTTTTTTTATAATTTTTTTTTCAATTCCTTGTTTATTTTTATTTTCAAGAGCAGGAAATTTTTCAAAAAAAAAAAAAATTTCATTCATATAAACCTTGAATAATGAGGGTCATTCAAAACAAGATTTTCTTTTCATTTTTTTTTTTCATTTAAAAAAAAATTTTAAATAATTACAACAAAATATTTTTTTTTGTTTAATTTATTTAAATGAATTATGCCAAAATAATATTTCCATACTTTTTGTCTTTTTTTTTTTTAAATTGAGTTCTATATGTTAAATCCTTTATCACAGATATTTAAAATCATTTTATTATAATAAATAAATTAATAATAAAATTTTATTGGTGATATATTGAACAAATCTGAATTAATTTAATAATAATTTATTATTATTATTATTATTTTCATCAATTATTATAATTGGTTCATGGGCAAAAATTGACAGCAAATTTTAAAAAATTGAAATAAAAAGGTTAATAAATGTATTTAAGGGCCAGTGAAATTTTACAAATATGATAACAAAATAATGTCAGCATTAAAAAATATTTTTTTGATTTATCGAATTGTTAACAATAAAAAATTTTTTAAAATAAAAATAAATTTTATTTAAATTTTCTGTGCATTCAAACAAAATGAGGTTTTAATTCATAAAATCTATTAAAATCAAATATAAAATTTATAAATAATGATTTTAGTGTGTGTGTATTGAAAGAAAATAAAAATGAATAGAAAATAAAAAATAATTTATATGAAAAATTTTTACAAAACCTAAATACATATAAAGGAATGATATTGCAAAAAAAGAAAGAAATTTCATACAGAATACAAAATAATTTTTTTTTTTATAAAATTAAAAGTTCAGCTTACCTGAAACCTGATAATTATTCGATGATACAATTAAAATTAAATTTATAGTTGTTTTCAATAATAAATGTTATAATTGAACTTTGATACAATTGGCAAATAAAAAAAAGTCATAATAATAATTTTTTTCTAGTAATTTCAAATGTATTTTTAATATTAATAAAAATAATAATAATAATAACATGTATGACGTAAATAATGTTTTAAAGCAAAATTTAAGGTTATTTATTTTTCGTAGTAATTAATTTTTATAAGCTTGACAACTTTTATTTCCAGTATTATTTAGTTTTTTTTTTTTTTTTTTTTTTAAAATATTTCCTGGAATTTAATTTCTGGAATTATTGTAAATGTTAATAGTGTAAAAACAAATTTTAAGTTGGCTAACCTGATTTGTTAATTGAAGAAGAAAAATGGAAGTCACAAGAAAGAGTAAAGTTTTATTTTTTTATTTAATTATTAAATGTTTTTTAATTTATTTATATTATTTTATTTTTACGATGCATATTGTTTATAAAAAAAATAATTTATAATAATTATTCTATGAATATGAAATATCCTTATTTAGAGTCTTTTTTTTTTTTCATTTTTAAATATTAGAGTAAACTACTGTGTAATTAAAAATTATTTGTCGGAATATTAATAAATTATTTATTGTTTTCTTTTCATTTTTCAGATTTTGATGAGGTTTTATCAACATTACCAGATGTATTTAACAAAGCTCAATTTTTGGCTATTGATACTGAATTTACTGGATTGAAAGTAGAAGGAGCAAATAATAATAATAATTATTATGATGAGTTCGACGATTTATACTTGAAAAACCGGCTAAAAGCAGAAACTTTTATGGCTATACAGTTTGGAATCGTAGCATTTTTTTACGATGAAAAATCAAAAAAGTATAATTTGAACTAGAAGAAACTTATTATTCATGTCTCTTGACTTAAAATGCTTAAATTCCACGTCCAATTTTTTTAGGTACACACATCAAGGATTTAATTTTTACATTTATCCATCTACTCATTCAGATGTTAATTTTACTTGTCAGAGTAAATCCATTGAATTCCTTGCTAAAAATGGATTTGACTTTAATACATTGTTTTTACATGGTATTCCTTACCTTAAAGAATCTGAAATGGCAAAACTACTAGACAGGTTACAGGAAAAACATGATAGGATTAGTTCATCGGAAAATTTTAAAATAATTGAAACCCCACCTGAACACTCAGAGTTAATTAACAAAATATTAAATGAAATCGATGAAGTTTTAAAAGAGAAAACTAAAAAAAAAATTACAATCGAAAAGAATAACAGTTATATAAGAAGACTAATTTACAGTGCTGTCGAGGCAAAGTATGGTAAAAAAATATTATTAGAATCTAATAAAAATGAAACCATGACTGTTTTCGTCGGTTACAGTCCTGAAGAAATTAAAAATCTTCGAGAAGAAAATTTTTCAAATGAAAAAAAAAAAATTTTAAACGAATCAGGTTTTACTCGAGTGATAAAATTAATGATTGACTCGGTTGGTAATTTTTATGAACACTTATCGTGTAATTATCGCAAAGAAAAACTAATTATTATTTTTTAAGGTTTTTTTTTTAATTTTTATTTTTAGAAAAAGCTAATAATTGGTCATTATTTGCTGTTGGATATTTTATTTACAATTAAACAATTTCTTTCTCCTCTGCCGAATTCTTATTCAGAATTTAAGGAATTATTGCATTTTTTATTTCCTAAAATTATCGATACCAAATACATGGCATCCACTCATGATTTTAAAGGTTTGAAAGATACTTCTTTGCCTAATGTAGTCGAATATTTTAATACTCTGGGAAAAATACCTGATGTTAGTACAAATGATAATGAACAAGGGTATACCTTAACTGAAAAAAAATTTCATGAAGCAGCATATGATGCTTACATGACTGGACTTGCTTTTTTAGGAATATCAAATTCTTTAGGTAAGTTTTTTTTTAATAATAATTGTAAATACATATTATACATATGAAAAGTTTTAGAAACGTTGTGCCTCTTTAATAAATTTTTTTTTTTTTTTATGTAGAATCATTGAAAGTTTTTGAAAATTTACCAGATTCATCATTTTTAAAACCTTATCTTAACAAACTTAAAATTCAAAGAATATTTGATATTCATTGTATGAATATCGGTGGAAAAGATGAAGAACCTGATAGAACCGGAGTTTATCATTTAAGTTTTCCTAAAGAATGGAAGAGAGAACATATATCTGAACTGTTTGTTAATTGTGGTAAATGTCAAAATGAAAAAAAAAAAATCAGATTTAATTTAGCCAATCATTTCCCAGAAGGTTTGGTTTTATTAAATAATAATTTTAATTTTAGGGTACATTTCGATCTCATGGATAAATGACACTTCGGCATTTGTCAAAGTTAACGAAGAACATTTAATTGAAGTTAAAAAAATCATTTCGAATTCGAATTCTACGTATAACTTACGTACTTACAATGACTTTCGTGCGTTAAGTAATAAAAATGCTGACGATAAAGTTAATAAAAAATTAAAAATCGATAACGTTACGAACAATACACACGAATCTTCAAATAATACCGATAAAAAAGTATTATCGAAAAAGAGACAAATTGAAGATTTGGGAGAAGTAATTGCTAGGCCAGAGAAAAGAAAGTGCACATCTTAGATATAAAAACGAAAAAAAAAAAAAATGTTGCATATATATATTGCAAAGTTTTTTTATCTGAGTAATTCATAAAAATATATTTAAGTTGATTATTATAATAATTTTATTATAAAAACAAATTAAAAATGAGACAAATTTTTTTTTTTTTTATTTTAACAAATTTTTATATTTTATAATAAATAAATAAATAATTTTTTTTTAAAATCGTAATGTTAAAAAACTGAATTTAAATCCTTTTGTTTATATTTTATTATTTAATATCAAATAATGACGTTTATATTAATTTTATAATGTGAATTAATTTATGATTTAAAAATATTTTTATCGAAAAAAAAAATTTGTAGAGATTTAATTAAAATTTCGAATTGATTTATTTATTCAATAAGGAAAATAAAAATTATTAATTATTTTACAGTAGTGAATAAGAACACTTTTAGTTTTAACAAAATGTTTTGAAAAAAATAAGGAAATTAAATAGTTATTGTAAATATTTAATTTTAATTGTAAAAATAATTATTTACAATAAAATAAGATAAAAAGAATTTCGAGTAAATTTTATTTGTAAATAATTAACTTAACG